TTGCTAAAAACTTCAAATAAATCAGCTTCTGCATTTGAAAGTTAAAGCATTTTTAAATAAATCATTATTTTAAATGAATCGAATTTTAAGTCGGTGAGTGTATTTGACTGACTACAGGCACTACTGGTTAGGCACTCCCGCAGTACAGAATTTGACCGCAAATCCTTTGGAGTAGTGTTGCCAGTCTAGTACAATTTTACTAGATCTAGTACATTGTCTAAGAATCTGGTACACTCGAAACAAAATCCAGTACCTTTTCCTTTTCAGCGTGTTACCATTTGACACATGCAAAATATATTGTTGGGATCTTGCTCCTTCTTTTGTTTTTTTTCATAATGAACCGAACCACATCACAATTCATTCGTAAATATGGTACATTTTAGAGAATCTAGTTCCTTTTTTATGCAATCTGGTAAATTTTTTAGATAAATCTGGTACCTATCAAACATATAATATGGCAACCCTGCTTTGGAGACTGTACTTAAAATTCGTTTACCTTTATTATCTTTAAAATAGTTTCAGTAGTTATTTTTATTTGATTTTTTCCCATTTGTATTGTTATTTATTATATTCCAGGCACCTTTTGTTTTGTTGTTTGAATAAAACATTTGGGTATCGTAATAATTTCTCTTCGCTTCCGTAATTTTTAGCCGATGATTTCTTTTAATAATATTGTATCCTTGCAAAATACCTTTATCTTATCACCAGAAGATTTATAAAGATAAGAAAGATCTCCTAAAAGGAGTAGTAATCCAAGGCTTTCCCTTATTTATATTAATATTCGATTTTTTTATACTATTCTATTGGATATGACTTTTCAAAAATATCCACAAATATATTGTAAAAGATGCCAAACATTTTATCACATGATAAAGTATTTTCATCTACAAAATTCCAGCTTTCATTTGCTAGCAAATACTTAAAGTAAAAAATATTTTGTCTCCTCATTATAGATAGTAAAATATTTTTTTAAATCAAACAATAAACACATATAAAAGCAACTACAAGACTTTGTATATCTATTGAATTCCATTTCACACTGAATATATGTTTCTACACACGGTTACTCCTCGAAAATATTGGTTTTCGCTTTTTCAATGTCACTACACTCTTTTGCTTTTTAATATAAATCCCAAATCTACTTTTATAACATGAAGAATGATTGCCCTAGGAAGTTTTTCTTGTAAAATTTGTGGAATATTCCAGATGTCATGCTTTGTGGGGAAATAATCAACCATATCATGATTTATTAAAGTTGACGTGGTACAAAAACAAATGACAAATCACTTTACTACATTCTAGTCAAGATTAATGAACATTGGCAAATCCTTTTTACAATTGTTTTTCACCGTCACAAAACGCGTTCATATGTCGTGGCAGGGTAACGCGATAATACTGAAATTAATGATATGAAAAAAAAAACACGTGTGCATGCGGATGAGTGAAATCCTCAAGTATAGCAATTTACAACATGTTGCATTTATGTTTCTTCTAACAAATCTCTAATAAATTTATTTTTGTCCTAATGTCATATATGTACAATACATAATGCTGTAAAATACCAAAATTGTTTTGGAGTAGTGGTAGTATTATTATTCAAAAGCAAAAGAATAGTTGATCATTTTACATTAATTAGTAGTCCTGTGTATTTCTTTCTACAACTTTGAACCAGAAAAAACTGGCTTTCAAATTAATATGTACTACAGATTTTATAGTTAAACTCATAATTATTTACACTGTTTTCATCTTAATTTCAATGTAGTCGTAGAGATATAGACAAATTTAAATACATTTGATAAAATAAAATTGATATAATTTCTAACTCGCGCTTTTCATCAATAAATTTGTTTTTGAATAATTGACAAATAAATTTTTACATGTTAAATCATTTTTTTGGAAAAAAGTTTTATGTCATAATCTTAGTTTAACAAGGGTACCAACATATTAAAAAAAAATGTAAATAAGTGAAGTTATGGTTTATAAGTTATATGATGTAATTTAAAATATTTACTACAGCTTTCTTTTTATAATAGTATAGGAAAATTTGTTTTTCATCTGCCCTCTTACTTTGGTATCGACGGTGCTCATAAATGTACACACAAATTAGGGGTTTGAAGAAACGTACAATAATTTTTCTCAAAAAATAACTTAAGTACAAAAAATAAACACAAAATGATGTTAAGGTTTCTGTTATTATTAAGTATATTAAAATGTAACTAATTATAAAGTTCTAAGACTTGCAAAGGATCTCTAACAGCTTTTTGTAAATTAGTTTTATTTTTGTAAAAATACTCCATAAGGGACGTTATAAAATCAGATCATAAGTTGATCAATGGAGATATTCATATTGGCCAGGAGCCAGGAGCTTCCTTATAATCGATCTCTTTTTTTATATCTTCTGCAATTTTCTTTGGAGACATTGGTCTAATGATTCCAGTTAGGTAATTTTTCTTCGTCATTTCTTTAGAAGGTATTTTGTAAGTACCTGCGAATCTAATAATTTTTTTATGTTTTTCTAGCCCAGCTGCCATCTGTATTCTTGCATTTTGTGCAGTGGATTTTTCAATCACTTTTATGGCTTTTCAGAGAGAATAATCAGTGGCATTACCATTTTTTTAACTTATTAAGGTACTCACAAACAGCTGGGTGGCGTTATTTAGTTTTGATTTAATTGATGGAGCTCTGTTCTTCTTTCACAAATTAGGTTCTTTATTTCTTTAGGATAGTCATATCATGTTATTCATTAAGCAATAGGTGGACTATTATCCCATGCTGCTTGCTTTACGTTGTATTATAAGCTTACCTTTAGATAATAAATTACCTTTGATACCAATTTCATCAAATTTGTTTTAGTTTCTTATTCAGAAGATTGTTACTTTAATTCAATGTTGTTTTAATTTTAACAGTACGAATTTCAGTACAAGTTGTTAGATTAAATATTAGTCAACGACGGGTCACGATAATTGTCTTGTGTCTTTCAGTCTGATTCCGAGTTCCAGGTAACGGTATCTCTGCAGTAAGCGAGGGTTAGATTTTTCGCAACCGATGTGGTATCGATTTTTGTCAGTAACAATTTCCAAATGTAGTTATATTGTGTATATAGATATATTGTAGGGTAATATTTCGTAAATAGTCTTTAAAATTCTTAAAGATGAATTTCTGAACCATCGGCTTGTTATTTTCCTTTACCTTTAACTTTTTGAATTTTGAGTATTTAATAAAAGTCAACTAAGTGTGTGTTTTAGTTGAAATTATGAGTTTATTTGTTTTGCGCTATATACTGTATATTTTGGAATTTGTATTTATATCGACTTTATGAATAATGATATTAAGATAATAAGCTGGCTCGTAAAATGTTTATTAGCCGTTTGGAGAAAGAGGAGCTTGAGTGGGAGCTTCACGTTAGAGGTCTCAATATTTGCACCGCGGAAGAGATGCGATCTCAACTTTCGTATGGAGAAAGCTGGTGATAGTTTTTTATATCCTAGTTATTCATTTAAGTTTGCTGTTGATGAGGCTGCTCTTGTCAGGAAGTATACGGAGTTAGACCCTTTTTTAAGTAATTATAGTGGGAGTACTAATATTAGTGAGACTCAGAAACTGCAGAGTAAGTTGTCACACGCTTGGAATAGGTTTGATTAAATGGATACTACTGGAGATGTAGGTATAAGAAGGTATAAGAAAAAATATTTAAACATATCAGTGAAATAAAGATTATTTTATTATTTCAATCACACCTTCAAACGATGAAAGATAAAAAATATTTAGAATTTTTTTTAATTTGTTTGCAATCGTCCCCATGTTTTATTAATTTATGACTGCACCAGAATATGGAAAAGTTTTCCGAAACATATGTAGTGCTGTGCTAAACAATTGAAAATAAAAAAAATACCGAATAAACCAAGGAAATTTTTATTTATATAAAATAAAATATCAATTGCTTTAGACGTAACAAAAACGTATTTTTCTAAATCTCTGAAACATTTATATCTTCTATTTATTCAGATTACGAAGCAAAAATATGTTCATAAACATGCGTACTAAACTGTAATTTAAAGATACGTTCAAATTTCACTCTACTAAAATTTCCCGCTTACTTTTCGCGAATAATGTCGTTTTAAAACCAGATTTTGCTTTATTTGACAATTTCTTAGGCGAGTGCGTCTGAAACGGCTTTCATGGTTCAGCTAACTCGAGGGGACTATACTTTATATTGATAGGACTTACTAAACACACAGCTCAATCTTTTCCTTATCATTTTTCGGCACTTCTCCTTAAGGGAAAAAGGGAAAAATGATATAATTTTTCATTTTGCTTAAATCTTTGATATTCGCCATTCAATGAGGTTTTTAGTTTTATTCCATCCGGATTTCCATTGTCCGTAGAAAGGAGTAGAATTTTGAATTTTGCATTTCTAGTCTATTGAGTAAATAACTGGTGTATGTTAGTATTTAATACATGTAATTAAGTGTTTAAAAGACATAAGAAGAAAATTCAAATAAAAAACAAACCTTATTTATTTTCTCAAACAGCCACATGGCTCCTGTTTCAAACAAAATTAAGCATATGTCAATGTCAATCTCAGTGTACATTTGTGGATGTGAATGACTTCACACCCGTTTTTTCATTTACTAAAAATTAAACCCTTTGAAGATTACAATGAAGTTCTTTTCTTTACATATCGCCTTTTATAAATAACTTTTTTATTAAATTAATGAACAATAATTTAAGATTACATACCCTTAATGTTAAACAGGCTATTGCTTCAGCCTTATTTCATACCTACGTGCATTTAATTTTCATGTCGATAGTATAACAAAGAATCGAGGAATATGAATTAAGGAAATACGGCGAAAACCGTTCATTAATTTCCAATATAGCAATTTTCCACATACGCCATTATAAATTACCCCTAAACGGCCGTGCTATCAGGCGCATATTGAATAATGCAAAACGCCTTCAAATTTAACGGTTTTAAAAGAATTTAATTTATGTTCCAGGTGGCGTTGTAGCTCACGTCCAGGCTCTGCTCAAGGGAACTGCCCTGTTGCCATGTGACTTAACCGCTGCCGCACCGAATGATTCCGTTGTTCTTGTGGTTTGGTATAAGGATGAACATACTCCAATTTATAGGTAAGTCTTAAACTAATTACACATAAAAAAATATCTCAACTTAAATCAATTTGTATTAACTTGAAAAGTGCGAGTCGTTCGGAAAACCCGATACAAACCCATTACTCTTACTGAAAGTATATCGAAGAGTCATGTTTCAAGACCAGTTCCCATTTTTGGAATCAACTGGAAACTCAGTTTATGAATAGAAATATGTATTCTGAATAAAAATATGCTACGAAAATTTCTGGTATCAGTTGGGATTTAAAGCCAAACAGTTTCGAAATGTATATGTGGAAAATCAATATGCCGTCATCATTTCGTTCTTTCAATATTCACATGTGGTAGTAGAATGAAATATTATTTCTAAGAATGGAAACCAATTTAGAAATTTATATCTTTTGTGCTTTGCCTTATTAGATTTTGATTTCTTCAGTGAAATGATTGAATTTTGAATACTATTAATATTCAAACGTGGTCCTCCTTAGAGCTTATTTTTCCTCAATTAACTTAATAACTAAATAGATCTATTGAAGGAAATTCGACATACGGAAAATTATTTTTCTTGACATAAAAGGGTGTAAGAAGTGCTTCTACTGGTTAGAGCTTGGAACTCATAACTTGAAATTTCTTATTACCAGAATATTGTCAAGGATAATATAATAATTTTTTGTGCCAACTACGAAAATTTTCCAAAAATTGGACAATGGAATAAAAAACTGTTTATAGAAACTCACGTAATTTTTTATTTTTTCGTACCAAAAAATATTACTATTTTTAAATGGCACCTATTGAGGGTTATTCCAGGAAAATTTTATTACCAATCTGTCAATATGCACCATGCTTAGAACAATATTTTTCAGTCCATGGACTTCTTAATAAAAAAAAGGAAAATTTAAATTTTCTAATACTATCATATGTAAAATAAACGTAGAGATTCCAAAAAGTAAAAAATATACAGGGTAATATATTTAAAAATAATTAAACCCAATAGTATACTGGTAAAACTAAAAGTCATCCATTTTCTTTAAATTCAAAATTATGTCTAGTAGGTATATCATAAATTTCATACAAATAGCCATAGTATTATTGTGGCCCTTGTCTCATCGTCACTCTGTATATATCAATCTCAGAATTATAACTAAAATTCAGAGCAGATTAATAACCCATGAAAGGCATATCAGCTGTCAAATGTAGACACCTAATGCCTTCTTGTCAATACCATCGTTACTGAATGGTCATCGTAATTTTAATCCATTCACACGTCAGATCTTGAAATGTTACATTTCTGTATACCCATAGGCAACAGCGTTGTGGATATATTGATGAGTATTATAAACTTTATGTATATTAAGTGTAATGGAAATATGTAGATGTATTAGAAAGTGATATTCAGAAGAAAACTAATTAATATCTTGTAATAATCCTTGACAATTAAAAATTTAAATATTAATGCAGTAACATGATCCCAATTTAACGCAATTAATGATTTATTATCAAGATATTTTAGGAAATATTATACATAATATTTTTGTATCTTTGGTGTTGTTGAAGCTTGTCTACAATAATAAAAAACAAACTGGTCCTTTCATGCTTTCTGTCTCTTAACAATGTTTAACTGCCATGCGAGGTCTCCTGTTTATAAATTACTTTTTCAATGTACATACGAGTCCCTGCGACGTTGTCAAGATGGGCCTATGAAATTTGCCCTTCAAAAGGTTTAACTCTTGAATTTTTACAGATCTTTACCACAGATCTCTTTTCTATGAGTTCGCGCGTGTAGTGGTATAATAGGTTTGTTCCAACACGTGCGAAAATGGTAATATTACGGAACAAATCATGCGGTCTATACAAATTTTAACAACAATATAAATATTTGGTAAATTTCTTTCAACTTATTTTCTATTGTGTATTAGAGCAGGTGTTTTACACCTTTAATGAAATCAGGTAAATTTAGGATCATTATTCGTAAATATTCATAAAATTCGTAAGGTTTGAAAGCACTGCTCTCACCCACTCGAGAACAGTCCACTTTAAATAATTTTAAAGATGATGCTTTTAAAAACAAATACAAAAATAAGTCAAAAATCATATAAAGGGGAAAAGAGAAAGGAAAACAAAGGGATAAGGAAAGAAAGAGAAAGAGCGCAAACAAAAACGCAAAAGGCGCACTTTTTCAAATGATTTACGTTTCACCTCTGGAATCGAATATTAGAATAGAATAAAAAAAAGTAAACCAAATCGGAACGTTCTGTTAAATATAATAATTCGATTTTTAGTTTTTCATATTTGTATTAAATTATTTATGATTTAAATATACAGGGTGTCTGTAAAAGGTCTTTACAAAAACATACCACATATTCCTTAGACCAAATTAAGTCGATTTAAGTAAAATTACCTTAGTACAAAGTTGCTTAATTTGGACTCCAGAGGGCCTTGAAATTACAATTTTTAAATCGTTTTTCCCATATAAATTTAAAACGGCATATGCGATTTTGCTGAAATTTGGTATATTGGTAGAGTTTTATGTGGCAAAAAAATGGTATTAAAATTTTGTCCGATAATAATACATAGGCGTAGAACTTGATTTTTTAAATAATTGCACCTTTAAAAATTCTACGCCAATGGAAGAAAAGGAGTTTGAGTATGAAATTTAGATTATGCAACTCATTTACTTTAAAAAAGGTACTTTTGTTAAGACTCAATTACTCTCATGGTTTTCGCTAAATTTCTGTTTCAATAATTTAGAGTGTATAGGTTTCACAAAAATATTTATTTACAACATAATCAAAACAGAGATTTTACAAAAATTGTTCAAAATGTTCGCCATTTTCACGCATACAAAGATTTATACGTCGAAGAAAATTAAAATGTATCCTTTCCATAACTTCTTTATCACCTCTAAGATTGTTTATTGCATCTTGAATACGTTGCCAGAGTTGTTTCTCATTTTCTACAGGTTCCCTGTAAACTATGGATTTCAAATGTCCCCATAAAAAGTAATCCATCAGTGTTAGGTCTGGGGAACGTGGTGGCCAGTTTACAGGTGCGTTATTACCTCTGCCTATCCATTTGTGTGGATATTGTTCATTCAAGTGGTTTCTAACGTTTAAAGAAAAATGTGGTGGAGCTCCATCTTGCATAAACCACATATCTCTCCGAAGTTGGAGAGGTAAATCTTCTAACAATTCTGGCAACGTATTTTGTAGAAAATCCAAATAATTTTCTCAACAATGAAATTACCAATTATTCCAGCCCATACATTAATTTTGAATTCGTGCTGAAAATGGTTTACCTTTATTGCATGCGGATTTTCAACGGCATAAACATGTTCATTATGCGTATTAGTTATACCTCTTCTCGTAAAACCCGCTTCATCGGTAAAGATAACCTTCTTGACAAAGTTTGGATCTCTTTCTCTTTGCATATTAACAAATCGACAAAAACCCAAACGAATTTGAGGATCATGGACTAATAATTCTTGTACTGGCTTCTTATAGTATGGATATAGCAATTGTTCTCTAAGCACTTTATGAACGACATCTTTACTTACTTCTATTTCCCTTCCAATTCGTCTGGTGCTTAATTCTGGATCTTCTTCAACACGTTCTAAAATGTCTTCTTCAACTTCAGGAATCCTTACAATACGTTCTCTTTCATTATCAACAGTGTTGGGAGCAAAGGAACCGGTCTCCCAAAGATGTCTCTCAACAGTAGCAAAATGGGGTGACTAGCTACACGAATTTTAATTTTAATAATTATTGTTTGTTCTAAAATTACTAAAATGCAAATTTCGTCAAAACCATGAGAGTAATCGAGTCTTATCAAGAGTACCTTTTTTAAAGTAAATGAGTTGCGCAATCTAAATTTCATACTCAAACTCCTTTTCTTCCATTGGCGTAGAATTTTTAAAGGTGCAATTATTTAAAAAATCAAGTTCTACGCATATGTATTATTATCGCACAAAATTTTAATACCATTTTTTTTGCCACATAAAACTCTACCAATATACCAAATTTCAGCAAAATCGCATATGCCGTTTTAAATTTATATGGGAAAACGATTTTAAAATTTTAACTTCAAGGCCCTCTGGAGCCCAAACGAAGCAACTTTGTACTAAGGTAATTTTACTTAAATCGACTTATTTTGGTCTTAAATCGTTTATTTCAGAAACAACCTAAGTCACTTTTTGAAAATTTTCAAGAGGTAAAAAAACGTTTTGAACTAGGACTAGAACTAAGATTATTTCAAAAATAAACGAAAATTTTATATTGTCATATAAATAAGGATGTTTACGGAAGTTATGTTTTTCTGCATTAAACGTGTGTTACTCTGAAATTACAAGGTTAATGTGACAAACCCAAAATGAACAAAACGTGATTTGGGTTGTTTCTGAAATAAATGATTAAGTGGTATGATTTTGTAAAGACCTTTATTGTGTCGTACCCTTATTCACATTTTATTATAATTTACAATTATTATTTCAATTAAAACAAAATTATCTCAGACATTCATCGTCTCCCATTATCGTAATAAAATGGATCATACTCAACGATAAAAATTGAATTACTTCTACATCATATTTAAAAACGCCCTATGACCCCATTCACTCCACTTCAATTTTCCGAAAGGCACTTAAAATAAAAACGGCACAATGAAAGTGCCATAATGTTAACCGTTTCCTCTTATGAATTTCTGAGCGGTAACTACCAGAATCTAAAAGCCGAAGTCTCATTGATTTTTTCTCCTATTGTTAAGAGCCTTCTCAAGTGTTGTCATTATCCCGGATAAAGAAGAAAACATTTGGAAGACACATAATTTCGATAAGATTTAGCTGAATGTCGAAGATTATTACGACTCTCTACGAGAAACCTTTTGTTAGATTTGTCATAGTGGGAGCTTTCCTTTCACACAGTGCTGTGCGAAGGAATTTAGCGCCTTTCCAGTTGTTTTATATCATTTATAAGCTGAGGAAAATTGAGCTTTTCTTAATTGCATTAATATGGAGTAATAAATCAATA